ATAAATGAGAAGAAATACATGCTGTTGGCACATTACACAGTGTCTCTGTTTCTAAAAGAACTGCTTTTGGAATTCAGTAACAGTGTTACAAGGTCCAGTTTGTACAGAACTTTATCCCATACAGATGGTACAGCAGTGACTGCCAATGTGCCAGAATACAGTGGGAAGCTTCCTTGGAAACTGAAAATCTGACAGAATAAACAACATGCTGGAAAGAGAACTTGAGGTACTGGGCAGAGATAGCAATGAAAACTTGGAATAGATAAGACGGGGATCCTCAGAAGAGAGTTACGCACAAAGGCCCATTCCTGCAAGGAACCAAGAACCTAAACTCCCAGGTAGCAGGATTGGACCTTGAGATAGCTCTCTTTAATTGGTTTTCCACTTTTGTAATGATGATGAAAAACAAGCATTACATACAAGAGTTTTATCAAACAATGTCAATTATATTATAGAGGAACTGATTCAAAAATATTCTTGCAAAAATGTATTTATCTCAAGTTAAGTGCAGTATGTCCTTCAGATAGAGGAGGCGATCAGAGTTGGATTGTGGGGCACTTGCTTTCCCTTTGCAAGCTCTGACTCTTAAATGTGGTGAAACTATTTAGATTTATCACTTTAACAGAAAGGTCATGGCTGCCACATGGCTGCCCTTTGGCTTCAGTGGATCCCCAAGGTACATACAAAGTAAGACATAGTCACTTAGACCCTTTCCTTACAAAAACATGCAACATCTTTGAAATTAAAATAATTTTTTAAATCATGTACCCAATGAACGTTTATTGAAACATCCTTGGCTAAAATCTGAAACACAGAACAGCTAGTCTTCATTTTTCTAAAGTGGAGGCATCGTATTGCATATGACCAGGTCATAGAAGAAATTAATATAATTTTTGCAAATCACGTAATGTGTGGGCACCTGAACAACTGAAAACCAGTAAAAGTGTTTGGTAGCTTTGATGGAAAAGTCAGAGTCATATCTCAAATTTGAATTTTTTTATTTTCTCAGCATACCATATAACCAGCATACCAAATTTCAAAAGTGCAGCTGACTGAGAGCATAGTGAATCCTGCTAGCTGGTCAGTGATCTGTTATAAGTAAGGCTGGCTGGAAAACAAGAATGCGGTTCCTAAAACCATTTTGATGTTTATGAATATGGTTTTGCTCCACATTAGGATGAAACCAAGACGTCTTGAAAAATGTTATGAATACAAGAGACAACAAGAGATCATCCATGACTACTCCAGGGTGGAACTTTCCCTCAATACTCCATCCTGGGCCTAAGAAATCTTTTGGATGCAGAAAGATTCCTAGAAAAGTATTGAATCAGCTCTAGTGACAAGTATTTTCATACATTAGATATTAATAACAACTCTCTTATATATATTCCATTTTTAATGGATGGTTTCAATTGCATTGTAATATGCAAAGCACTAAGGGGCTGTTGAAAATGACAAAGGAAAGCTAAAGGGATTGATTATTGCTTTGAAGTATAGTTGATAAACATGACTTTAGGAACTAGATATTATTGCTGTTACATAGCAAGCCATAACTTGTAAAAGAAGTACCGTAATTTAGCAAATATAACCCGCGGGCTATATTCATTTTTACAAACCCCGCACCTCCCCCCGCGGGGTATACTCAGGTGCGGGGTATACAAAATCTTTTTTACACACTTCCCGGTTCCTGCAGCCTCCAGCCTCTGGGCGGTGACCACTCCCCCGCCCGGTTCCTGTGCAGCCTCCAGGCTGAGGTGTAAAAGAAGTACCGTAATTTAGCAAATATAACCCGCGGGCTATATTCATTTTTACAAACCCCGCACCTCCCCCCGCGGGGTATACTCAGGTGCGGGGTATACAAAATCTTTTTTACACACTTCCCGGTTCCTGCAGCCTCCAGCCTCTGGGCGGTGACCACTCCCCCGCCCGGTTCCTGTGCAGCCTCCAGGCTGAGGAGCGCTCACCGCCTGGTTCCTCCTCAGTCATACGAAGGGGTAGGGGGTGTGCTCATCCCGCTGTGAGGGGGCTGGCTAACCCCCCCCCCCCACCCCCGCCCCATAAATATACCCCCAGCACAGCCTTGTACACCCCGCGGGTTATACTCGTGTGCGGGGCATACAAGATTTTTTTAACGCAAAAAAAAAAAACTGCGGGGTATATTCGGGTGCGAGGTATATTCGCTAAAAGACAGTATACACATCTTCATTTGTGAATGTCTGAGCAGTGACATATGACTTGGAGTCCTGACTAACAACAACACAGATGTGGTGTTAAAAACGTATTCACTGAATGAGGGTAAATTTAAAATGTGGTGGGTCTATGAGTGAATTCTTGTCCAAGAAAAGGAGCGATGTGACTGCAGATTACACATCAGTAACGATTTCAGTATCATATGTAAGAGTATTTTTTCCCTTAAGACTGTGGTTTGTTAAAAGCAGCTGGATCAATCTCAGTTCTTAATCACACAAATGTATTTCCATATAAATAGAGTTGAACCAACATAACTGAAAGTAGAATCTGATCTTCATCTGGGGCTCTCAATTACAATATTTTGGTCCTAATCTTACAAATACCTACTATACATGTACTTAATATTCACACTCTGTGAGATAATTCTATCAAGGTCAAAGGGACTAACAGTTTACACTGTTAAGCAAATTGTAAGTCTTTTGCAGAATCAGGGCCTTAGACTGCATGCTCTTTTGGATAGGTATTCTGGATGAAATGCTGGCTGCATTAAAGTCAGTGGGAGTGTTGCTATTGAGTTTAGTGGGGACCAGATTTCATCCCGTGCGTTTCTACTTCTTCTGTGAAGTGCCTAGCACACTTTTGGGTAAATTATTATTACTGTGTTCATCAACATCTGTTATAAAGCACTTATGAATATTTAACCTAGTCTGATTGCTGGGAAAATGTCAGCTAAAAAAATGCAGCAGAATGACCAATAATTGATTCCACTGTTGCTGTGGTAGAAAGAGGAGGTTGCTCTTAATTATTTTAAAAATATATTAGGAAGTAAAGCTGGGGCTTATTTAATATAGTAATAAATATTCATAATGGTCTGTCTTCATTAGTTTCATCATAATTCCTCTTCAAAGAGATCTGATCTCACACAAATGGCTTATGAAATGACACTTTCATATGAAAAACGGGAGGAATGATTAGTATGCTATCATAATTCTGACTTTTAACAAGGACTTCTTTATACCACTTAATATGCTGAGCTCCCAGACATGATGTTAAAATGTGGGAGAGGAGTATTTGTACCATAGAAATACACGTAATCATACTTTGCAAGAGGCATGTCAGCAAACTCACGCTGCAAGCTGTTTGAGTAAAAGACAAAATAAGAAGCCAACATCTAATCATTCTCTTGATCGAAGGAAGAAAGGGAAATTTTTAGAAGGAAAAAATGATGGAAATAGCCAAATTATGCCCTGAGGAAATAAACAGGTGATTATTAAATAAATAGTTATATAAGACGACTCTATGACTGTCCCACAATTAAAGACGTTGTTCCCAGCTCATGTGATTTTAGCATGAGACTTGCAGTATTTGATATTTTTCTTTAAGTGTTAGCTCCAGATAAGCAATCACTTAAAACCCTCAGATTTCATTAACAAAAATAAGCTTTTAGCCCTCCTGGCTGCAAAGAAAAGTTTTAAAATGTGATTTGAGTACACCCTAAAGTCTCAGAATGCAAGTAAAAAATCCCCAATTTATTATGTTCAAAACTCATGTTTTTTAATCCAGCCTTGGCTTGTGTAGAACCTGAGTCATGATTTTTGACCATTTGGGGTTAGAAATACTTTAAAATCAGATTTAAACTCATGTATATAAGCAAAGAACAAGATATAACAGCCTTCTTAACCTGCTCATTAATCACCCAAATGTATCCACATACTTATTTATAAGTCTATGATACATTTGTATTCACCTAAGCTACATCTACACTGCAAAGCTATTTCCATATACCAGAGTATCCTGAAATAGCTATCCCGCGTCTTTATAGCAATCCTGTTATTTTGAAATATAATGAGGAGTAAGGGACATTTCAGAACAGCGCTAAATTACAAAATAAATTATTTCAAAATAAGATTGAAATAAGATATGCAATTTGTGTAGCTCAAATTGCATATCTTATTTTGAGCTATGGTGCAGTGAAGATGCACCCCCTATGGTGCTTTATTGGAGGAGACACACTGATCCTGATTCTCACTACCTTGCATCTGTGTGATCATTTACATGCGGGCTACGTCTACACTGGCCCCTTTTCCGAAAGGGGCATGTTAATTTCACACGTCGTAATAGGGAAATCCGCGGGGGATTTAAATATCCCCCGCGGCATTTAAATAAAAATGTCCGCCGCTTTTTTCCGGCTTTTAGAAAAGTAGGAATAAAAAGCCGGAAAAAAGCGGCGGACATTTTTATTTAAATGCCGCGGGGGATATTTAAATCCCCCGCGGATTTCCCTATTACGACCTGTGAAATTAACATGCCCCTTTCGGAAAAGGGGCCAGTGTAGACGAGGCCGCGATGAAAGGAAGAGTAAAATGTTATCATTCTGACCAGGTAGTATGTCACACGCAATTTGTACAAGTGTAAGTGACTGTATGAAATGTAAGACAACGGAGGTGCACATGGTGTACTGGTTAGAGCAAGGACTTGGTATTTTTCAGGGAAGAGATGTAAAGTGCCATAGCACAGGTTTGCCAGTGTAATAAAAACAACAAATCCCAGCTCTGACTCCATTTCACCCTCTCCATTTGTAGAGGTAGGGATTTCAAAATTTCTTTACCTGCCTAACATGGATGGTGGAAGGATTGAGAACATGACTGTGAAAGCCCTTTCTCATGCAAATAGTCACACTGCCTTTGAATAAGGACCTTCTTGTCATTAGAAAGAGTATTTTTTGTATTAGACCCTATGTTTGT